AAAAAAATACTGACTAACAAATATCTGCAAATTTTGTTGTAAAGGAACTCCTCCCACCCTGCCTGGGTGAGGGGAGGATAGAACAGATGGTGGTTCAGTTTGTAATGAATGAGATGGAGAAAAAGGAGGTGAGGAGTTCAGTAAGCTGATTTAAATTAGTGCTGAATGTGAAGCGCTGCAGCACAAACAGAAATGCGCCACCAAATCTTTAAATGAGCCATTTCCGAACACTTCAGCACTACTCCTGCCTCTTCTGTATTTATTTCAAATCCCACTTTTCTGAGATTTCTAATCATTTGTATGACATACTGCTCTGTCTATGATGCGCTGAGCCTGCCTGGACCTGGGATGCTGATTCTCTAAATTTCTGTCCTGCAAAAATGAAATATAGACATATAAATGTTGTGACATAATGAATTTGCTCTACTTTGAAAGTACTTTCACACCTGTTCAACTATCAAAAGCCACATAATTACTCTTTGTTGACAAGAAAAATTCAATAAATGCCAAAAATTTAAGTAAATAAGTTGTATATCACTTTGAAGTTTGGTATTAACTTTAATATTTTATAGTGGCTTAATGGTTAGACAACTAATAATTATGTATGATAGTGACATGTACTGTTTTTCAATCCACACCATTAAAAGGTGATAAATTATAGCTGGATCTCTAGATTAACTACCTTGGCTTCCAGACGCAGACGATCAATGGTGTTCTCTGCCTCGGCGTACTTAGTCAGCAGTCTGTCGTAGTCTTCCTGCAGCCAGAGGAAATAAAGGAGAAGGAAGTAAGGAGAAGCAGTGCAAAAGAAATGTGACATGAGGAAAAAAAAGTGAGACAAATGAAAACGAAAGGGAATAAAGCAAAAATGGGGGTGGCGATAAAAGAGAGGACTAAAAGACTGGAGCGGAATTTAGGTTCTGTTTAGTCTAATTCATCCTGTGAGGCTATCAAACGTAAACAAAAGCTGAACATATGAGGACAGCCAGGCAAATTATCTCTGTGTACTTTGGTTTTGGATTTGCTTTTGTTTTTGTTGGCTGTCCAAATAAATGGATGGATGGCTTAATACTCAGTTTCAGTATAGTAACTGAAACGCTACAGCAGACAGTAACATTCTGGGTAATAATATTAAACAAAATTCATTCTAGAAAATGTATTTGTATGTTGTTGTTATATTATAGTTAAAACTAAGTGAAGAGAAATCGGTGTTGTCTTATTTTCACGTTCAATAAAAAAATTAACAAAATGTCTCCATTATTCAGATTCCACCACTGTGATAAGTTTGATTTGAACCGTGACACTAAAACAAAGAGGAAATAAAGTGGGGCACCCTAAAACTACGAGTCTCATGTGCCATGTGTTTAAATGCGTTTCCCCTATTTTTCCCATTTTAAAACCTTGAGCTGGGAGCTGAGATGAGACTTTTTCTAAATATATTAGTCCCTTCTGGCATATCCATGTTTGATGTTCACACATTATTAAATTCTAAGTGCGTCCTGTGTGACGTTTTCACCTTTTGAAATGAAAGCTCGTACTTTAAGTCCAGTCAGTATTGGCATTCACACTAACCTGGAAAAAACTCAGACTTCTTCATGACATTTTGACTTGTTATAGTACAAAAAGCACAGATCTTATTACTGAAGCCTCAATTACGTGTCCCAGCAGACCCTGTCAGTGAACCTGTATTCACAGAAATAGGACCTCCCCTAAGCAGAATGCAGCCATCATTACTACACCTTTGATTTTAATACTGGGACAAGTTAGATATCTTATGTCCATCTCAATCAACTTTAGTGGTTTAAAGTAATTTTACAGAGAACTCTTCCAAACTGAAATACCTCTTAGTCTCTACTAGTACCTGAAGCTGATTGACCAGTGTGGTGGCCTGCTGGTGGCATCTGAACTCCTGAGGCACAATAGCGTTGATTGCACTGGTTGCCTGTCCGTCAGAATCTGGCGAGGTAGGAGATTCACCAGCGGTGTTCAGTAGGACTTCTTTCACTATATCAGCAGGGGATTTGAAGACTATAGGTGGCTCGGGTGATAAGGACTTCCTCGTTAACAAGGGCCTGCTCTTGGGGGGCTTGTAACCGCCTTTGGGAAAATGAACTCTGGGTTCGACCTTCGAGAAGTCTGGTGTGTGGTAACTCAGAGGCCCCTTTCTGGAAAAAGAGAATTGTGATGTATGAAAATAGAAAAGAGCAAAAAGAAAGCCCAAATAAAATGGTTAATAAAATGTGTTTTACCTAGATTTGTCCTCTGCAACAGCATTGCTCCTGGTTCTAGGCGTTACCACGTCCCTGTCACGACGTGTGTTCTGTTGTTTGTTGGGCCTGACTGTGCCGGGGGAATGAGTTCTTGAATATGCAGCCTCAGGAGAGTGCTTCCTTATCTTTCTCGGTGTGGGAGTGGGGTGACTATGCTCCTTATCTCTCTTTCCTGATTTTTTTCCAGGGCCATTACTTAATCTCCTGTAATGATTTGGGATGACCTGTTCAGAAAACAATGCTGCTGGCTGAGGCGAAGCCCTAAGCTTTATCTCGGGACAGCGAGGACTGGAGTTGAGGCTCATGTGGCTACTGTTAGACTCTTGAAAACTTTCTGTAAAGCTTATTTCTGGAAAGGTTTCAGCTTCAATTCCTGGGGCAGTATTTAATTCCTCGGCAGTGAAATGCAGACGATGGGGCAAAGTGGAAGCGGCAATGGGTAAGGCAGAACGGGAGGCTGGACAGGAAACAATGTCCACACCATGCAGCTGAATGCTAGAAGATTGTCCTGACCTGATCTCTTTATTCTCTTCTTTACCACGATATCCTTCAGCGAGTCCTGCCAGCTTTCTTCCAAGCTCCCCTGATGTTCTAGTGTGCTCAAATTTCTTTTTACTCCAATCACTCCTCCCTCTCTCTTCTTCTCCATCTTTGTCATCATCTGTCGTGTCGTGGTGTTTTTCCCACTCAGAAAGATGCTCTGCTACCTGCTCCTCCATTCTCTGCCTCACCTCCATATCCTCTGACCACGTTTTTAACTCATCTATAATTACAAAAAGAAGAAGGCATGAAAAAATAATAAGGAAGCAAAAAACGTGTTGTGCAACAAAGGACTGTGTAGCTTTAATGAAT